GGTTATTCCTTTCAATAAATCTTTAATTAAACATATAGAAAGCATTTCTGTTTTGGTGTCTTACCGCAAATAGAGCTAAATACAGCCAGCTATTTTAGTAGTATTTCATCAGATAAATATCTCACCTAACTTTTCCCTTTGTCTAATCCTTCTTCCTCTTTAGGTCTAAAAGTATGTCTCTGCAGCTGATCATGGTTGAAAAATTAGGTATTTCTTCTTTTAGGTATAAAATTTGGATCTATGAGAATTTTGTTACTGATTAGAACACATTATTGAGAATTTTTTAGTCCAGAAGTAAAGTTATCCCAATGTGTCATTACAAAATATGCATTAAATTAAATGAAATTATATAGTCAAAGAAAACACTTTAAAATCTATAGATTCAATTATGTCACTTTCTGACAGCTTTTAAACAATCTATTCAATCAAAAATGTAAGTTAAAATGTGCATTAAAACTTTCCTATAAATGTCAGTGAAAGTATACATTCTCTGATTATGGAATTTTAACTTTCAACAGAATAAGATGTATGCCAAAAGGAATAAAAATATTTTCAGGGAAAATACACATAAACCATCTAACATTAAATGTTAAAAATTTACAAATGCTTCTGACCAGAATTGCTAGCATATGCTAGGTTTTAAATTTGTGATGCTAAAAGTATCATCTAGATTGATCATGGTTATATCATGATTATATCTTAATTTCAAATTTTAACATGTAAGATTATACTGAAATTATTATTGTCTGTTTTCTAAATCCCCTTTTCCAAGTAAAAGCCAAGCTCTTCAACAGAATATTTCTAAGAAACAAATGTCAACCATGATAGCAGATTAATATTGTTGATGAAGAGGATTTGATAAGATTATTATTCAGTATAACCTGATTCTATTTGAAAATTTTTAGATAGAAAGTAGGAGATACTGTTTCTTCACTATGATCAAGTTGAATTAAAGCATGACTCCTGAAAAAATACAGACATTTTTCACTATGTTTGAGCTATTATCTTTCTCTTTGCTCTTTTTAACATAAAACTTTCCCAAATGTAGACTGAAAAATAACCTTGGTTTCCTGGAAAGCAGTCAGAATATCCTTTCTTTGTCGCCTAAAGAATTATTCCTAGAACAGAAGAGCATCACCTAATGTTTCATGAGAAAGCTATTAGTATGAGATCGTCACACTTCCTAGATAAAAATTTAATGCTGAACATTAATGTAGAAATTCATTTTCAAAATCTCTCTTACATCTTACGTCTCCCTTCTGGTTTGATGAAGGTTGTATGATTAGCTCAGGAAAAATAATAAACTGGGCTTTAAAGGTGGAAAGATGATCTAATTTGTTTTTTTCTCTCCACTCCTGAGAAAACAGAGCTACTATTCAGTGAATGGATGGATGGCGAGAGTAGAGTGATTTTACATATGGAAAGTGCTGCAACATCGAAATTAATCTGGCTGATTTCATACATGCAAAGCAATAAAATAAAATGATTGTCCCCAGCAACCCCACTTTCACAATACTCCCCTGTGGTGCTATGTAGTACTTTCATTTTTTTTTTATTTCCCTCTTTAAGTTGACTCTTTTAAAATTTCCTTTAGTGTACTATACAGGAGAGATGACTTTGTCAAGATTACCATGAAAGAAAGTCTGTTTTCTTCCCCAAACTGTGTCTGTTTCCATTCTCAGTGACCTGTCTTCTTGCAATGAGTTCCTAACAAGATGCTTTCTCAGCCTTTCCTTTCTCAGCGGCGGCATTAAGTTATTGGTCTGACCTATAAAATGCAGATAAAATCCTTGACGAAAGCATTTCTCCTCAAATAGAAAGTCAAAACTTCATCCAGGGGCTGGGGATTTAGCTCAGCGGCAAAGCGCCTGCCTGGCAAGCACAAGGTCGTGAGTTCGGTTCCCGGTACAGGAGAAAACAAACAAACAAACAAACAAAACAAACAAAAAAAAAACCACTTCATCCAGAGAGCCAGGCATGGTAACGCACACTTCTAATCCAGCGTTGAGGAGGCAGTAGGAGAACCCCAGGAGTTAGAGGTCACTACATAGTGAGTTCAAGGGCATCCTCCCTGTCTCAAAAAACAAGCAAATAAAGGTCACTGGATAAAGAAGTCTCTTCTTTCCTCTTCTATCTTTTCCTGCCTTCAATTTGGAACAGACGTTTTTGATGCAGCAGTCATGTTGAACTGGAAGGAGTAGAGCCAGCACACAGGATAGCAGAGCAGCACAGAGGGACAGTGGGGCAGCTGTACTGTATTTGTACCTGGCTCAATAGGGTGCTCATCTTGTGAGAAGGAATAAGCCCCTATCCATACAAATGACTGGGATCTAGTTTTTTGTTATGTTTTGTTTTTTACTCACTGTGGAATCCTTTGTGAACTGCTCTATGGTTATTTTAAAATTGTATTTGTATTGGATATGAGGGGAAACATGCAGTAGATATTAGACAAGAAGGTACTATTTGTATTTCTAGCAAATTTCTTTAAAAATAACAATATTTCTAGATGGAATATCTTTTTCTGGAGAATCTAACAGCTATCAGAAGAAGAATCCATTGAGTGGAATCAGGCATTGATTACTGGGGACAAGTTAACTAACCAAGGCCAGTTTTGAAATAACAGTCACGTAGAAATTGATATTATTGTATTTCATTCCATGGGCATTCCCCTTTCCCAATGAAACATAATTTTTATTATACAAGGTGTGATCAAATCACACAGTGAACATTTAAAGAGCTGTATTATAATAAATGGCACTTTGCTGTTAATCCCTCAAATTCTCCCCTTACTCCAAACACACTTATCCTATCATGATTAAAACTTTTGGGAGCAGCTCTGGAAGTCCTCTTTTGTATCTTTCCAGGGTCTCATTAAGAAAAAAACGCAGTGACAACTACTGCTGAGTGACATCCAATGGAAAGGCAGGCTCATAAAAACATTACTGTGTGTCCTCATCCACCTTATTCATTGAATCTGGCATCATGCAACTTCTGGCTCTATCCCAAAGTTAAAATGACCTTGAAAGGTAAATGTTTTGAATGGACTAGGAACACAGAAGCAGCTAGGATGGCACAAATAAAGACACTTAAGAAAGAGATCTCTCAGAACTGTTTTAGAAAATGCAAGAATGATGGGATACCTTTCAGCTGGATCCACCATCTTCCAGTAATTTGCAGAAATAATGAACACAAAGAGAAAGAGGAGGGGAACCTGCTATAAGTTCTCTAGGCCTTTTAGAAAACATGAGGTTGTTCCTTTGGCCACATACATGCGAATCTACGAAAAGGGTGATATTGTAGACATCAAGGGAATGGGTACTGCGCAAAAATTAATGCCACACAAATGCTACCATGGGAAAACTGGAAGAGTCTACAATGTACCCAGAGTACTCCTTGGCATTGTCTGCAAAAAGCAAGTCAAGGGCAAAATACTTACCAAGAGAATTAACGTGCATATTGAGCATATCGAACACTCAAAGAGCCCAGATAGCATCCTGAAATGTGTCAAGGAAAATGGTCAGAAAGAAAAGGAAGCCAAAGAGAAAGGTAACTGGGTTTAACTGAAGCACCAGCCTGCCCAGCCCAGAGAAGACCAATGGGAAGGAGCCTGAACTGCTGGAACCTGTTCCCTTAGGAATTCATTGGATAAGCTGGGATGTAGCTTCACCATTCAGCACCTAATTGGTGGCTAAGTGTTCTGGGCCTTACTTAAAATATCATTCTGTGTTGTAAGGATGGTTTTCTTAACTGAACTAGTATGTGGTACCTTTAGGTCAGAAACAAATATTTGGAGCAGATTCCATTCTACCTAGTGAATTGTGTCTGGTGTTTACTTTTCAGTATTTTTCTTGCTGAAAGATATTGCTGAGGTGTTGTGTAGGTGTATCCCCAAATGACCAGATGTGTATGAAGCATTTATATTGGCTTGAAGATCCTGTAAATCACCATAGGGAAAAAAAGTATCAAAATAAACAGAAGTCACTTCAGTTAAATAAATGGAAGTCCATTTCAGTTAAATAAATTGTTAAAAGCAAAAAACAAAAAGAATGATAGGGTATGTGTGTTCAATAGGAGAAGAAGTAGTCTGAGTGGAATTAATGGCTATGAGTATTTTACTGTAAAAAGTGTTTTAAAATTTAAACATTCACTGCAGGTTTAGATCATACTTCTTATCTTGCTTTGTGTATAATTGGCAGTTCTCATTCTCTCCGAGATGAAAAAGAACACATTTGTGGAAAAAAAAAAGAAAACACTTTTGTGAGAGAAGCTTTAATTTCAGCTTTCACTTTGTGCCCATTCGGCCAATGTGACATGGTTTGAAACAATCGTTCTAAAAGGACTTTTGAAAACTTTCATCAAAAGTCTTGAGACCGTTCTCATTCTATGGCTTTGGAATGGCACTTATGAAATTTATATCAAAGATTAACCAGAGATAAACAAGTTAAGTGACAAACAAGAAAAATTAACAAAATAATTATTATTTAATTTGTACATTGGCATATTGTATTTCCATTAAAATAATATAAAATAATAAATATCATTAAATGTTTACTATAGGGCACTAAACCTAATTAGGAAATCATGAAATATTTATGTAATATTAGTCCAATTTCAGTAAGATGAAAGAAAATAAGCTAATAGCATATGTACCAAACTGTTAAAAGTCTTTCTCTCTGAGTGTATGAATTGAGTGGTTTTTGTTTTCTACTATAAGTTTTTTTTTTTTTTTTTGGTTTTTCTCCGGTACCGGAAACCGAACTCACGACCTTGCGCTTGCCGGGCAGGCGCTTTGCCGCTGAGCTAAATCCCCAGCCCCTCTACTATAAGTTTTAATCCTTTAAAATTTCTACAGTCAATATACATGAGTCAGTGAAAGATATTTTTGTTATTAATAGTCTTCTAATTTAACACTGAAAAAAATCTAAAACAAATCATTTTTATTGACTGCTTTTTTCCCCTAACAAGCAATTTGACAACCAGTATGTTTGTTTTCTCTATAGAAATTCTAAATGGTGGCGTCTACGTGGACCAGAACAAGTTCCTTTGCTACGCAGACACTATTCACTGGCAAGATATTGTTCGGAATCCGTGGCCTTCCAACTTGACTCTGGTATCCACAAATGGAAGCTCTGGATGTGAGTGACATTAGCCTTTGTAGTATTTTAAAATGTTTTACCTCATGTGAAAAGTGAACAATTTATGTCCATCATGCTGTTAATAATATTTTGAAATTTGACTGTACCCATTGAGTATTCAGCAATTTGTGGAATGATATTTCCCCTTCACAAATTCTCATTATTTTAAACATGGTTCCGGTGGCCTCAGTCTAAATTATTTTTTTATTTCTAATATTCAAACAGGGGTGCCATCAACCATAAACTTAATGTTAATACCCCCCGGTTCAATTTTCATGGCATGCAACACTGAGGCAAAGATAATAAAACAAAAGTGTGCTTTTTCTATTTATGGTAATTTTTAATGTAAAACAAATGAAATAAAAAATAATGAACATTTAGATTCCTAAATACTTGTATTTCCCTAAATCTTAGCAATAATATTTTATGACAATGTCAAACTGTATGGAATGTATGAATATAGATTTTGTATAAAAAGAAGTATATTTACCTTCTAACTTTTGTCATTAGTCTAATAAACTACTGAATTTCCTAATTTTAAAATGTATATTATTTCGACAAGAGGATTTATCAGGTTCAAAGTGTTTAATATGATTGAATGATAAATAATATTTGAACTATCATTGAAACCTTTGAAAATTACTGTATCTGAAGTCTATTTCATTTTTATAGAGCAAGCTACAGTGGCTCCACATTTATTATTACTGACATTTGTATGAGAACAGAATCTTTATCAAGTATTAACCTGGGTTTTAAATTTCTCATCTATTATTATATATTTCCCACTTGAAATCATAACTGTCTCCACATAGTTCAATAATTATTTGCTACAGTCCTGATTGTATTATGATGCATCTGCAGGAAATCAAACTCCTAGAGACAATTATTAAATTTCATAATGGTCCTACTAATATAATGAGAAAATATAAATATATTTGATCAAAACTGACAGCTGTGATTTTAATAAATGGCTAAAATATTTTTTTCAAAAAATAGGGTAACATAATTTTCTTGTTATTTTTAAGCAGAAGTTTATATGAGATTCTGTCTTTATGGTATACAGTTAGCCTGCTATGTAATATCATATGTGAACAAAAAATCAAATCTTCTAATCCTAGCAATACAAATGATGTACTGGAGAGACAGCTTCTGTGTTTAGTCTTCCCAAACTAAGGTACAGATTTGTTGGAGGAGAAGGAAGCCTTTTGGCTATGCAAAAGGAAAGGCCTTTCTGACTCCGCTTGTCTGAAAGATGAGCCTGTGAGGCATGAATGAGATCAGGCAAAAATAAAGCCTGAGACAAAAGCCAAGAGGAAAATGTGCCCACCAGCCTTACAGGGTTTGGAGCAGGAAAGGTCGGAGGGGTTTGCTGCACTTTCACAGATGGTATCTCTTTGTGCTGTTCTTTCTGAGGGCTAATTTGGATGGTTGTGCCTATAATTAGGCAACTGTGGCTGCACTTTTTTTGCATGCAAATAATTGCAGGTGCAAAATTTATAAATGCAGAATGGGTTCATAACCAGTGGTCCTTTGCAAATTAACCACCAATTGTTGTCAAAGTTTTAATGCTTACACAGTATTTCTATTTGCTGACACATTGTAAGTACCATATGAGGCCGTATCTGATAATAATACATTAGCTATTTATTCAGTATTGGTAACCTATGGCTTTATTCTGCTAAAGAAAGTAAGGCAGTCACAAAATGACAAATGCTGTTTGATTCCATTTATATGAAGTATTCATAGTAGTAATGCTTAAAGAAACAGAATATACATCTAGTGGTAGCTGTCAATTCCTGAAGTAAGGGGGAATAGAAAGTGGCTCCTTGGTGAATATAGACTTTCAAATTTGCTACATAAAATAATTCTAGAAATCCATTTCCAAACATTCAAGTCCAAGGACTTCCAAAATTCATCTATGTGAAACCAAATGGCTTCGAATTTTCCTCAAATTTTAGCCTATTTTTCAACTCTGTGTGTTCAGATCTTAAAGATCCTCTGTGTCTCACTTCCTCTGTTTGGCCGAATACATTTTAATCATGCATTAAGACTTTTATCAGGAATCATCTCTTCTAAGAAATGCTGTTTGCCCAATGTGACCCATAATGACCAGGGACAACATCTGGCATTTAGTCTAACACTTAAGTTTAAAGTTCCTTGTGAACAGGCTGAATTCATCATGCTATCCTCTGTTATGGTACATAATAGATGCACAACAGATATTTGGTAACATAATAAATAGATAAATTCATGCCTTAGTCTAGTCGGTCCATCAGGGCCTGATGATGCCCCAGAACGGCCCCTTAAGTGTTAGAGCGCACAGAGGGAAGTGCGGGTTCTCACATGGCTAAAGAGTGGGAGAGGGAAAACCTCCTCCCACAATCCCTTTCCACAGCTAATCTATAAGGGCAGAGCCAGCCGTTAATCCCTTCCCCGCACTGTGCAGTAGGAATCATTTCAACGTGTGCTTCGGAGAAGGACAGAGATGTTGAAACCCCAACAGTTTACAAATAGGAAAATTGGGGGAATCTAAGATATATGTTTTAAATCTATCATTTACATGAAAAGAATGAAAATTTGAAGTTACAGTCCAGAGACAGGTCGTTCCTCAGCTTTTAGTCATTTTTCAAGTAAAGATGGCTGCCTCTGTCTCCATCCTTTCTACTGCATATAGCAAGAGAGAAAGAAGGACCTCTTTAATATATACACACATATACATATTGCTTCATTTAATTTATGCTGATATAGCTACAATATTTCTGGTATATTCATTCTTTATTTATATTATACTTGCAATAAGTATAAGATAAATTATATAGTCTACTTTTCCATTAATGTTTAAGTACCGGAAGCGTATACTAATTGATATCTACAAATCATACAATTTTGACACAAGGAATTTAACAATACTGGATTCTTAAACAGTATTTTACAGAGTATTTAATTTCCCTTTTAATATTTTTTTTAGTATTTTTTATGTGTTTATTTTGTGTGGTACTAATTTGCGACACGAATATACAAATCTGTTAAAGAGGCCCGGTGTCGTGCTATATACCTGTAAATCTAGCACTGAGGAGGCTGAGGCAAGAGGATGGCGAAGAATTGAAGGCCAGCCTGGGCTACATAGTGAGTTCAAGTTCAGCCTGGACTGTACAGTGACACCACTTAAAAATAATTAGAAGCACAATCTTGCTTTTTATTGACATATATTTGGCCTAAAATTAAAACAATGCAAAAGAGTTTTGAAGCATCTATAAAAATAAGTAAAATAAAATTCTTTCTTTAAAAATATATGATTCAGAAATAACAACTAAGTTGTATTTTCCAAAATATCTTTGAGATATCTTGAGTCAAACCTCAGGAAGATGAGGAAAAAATGTGTATTTTTATCTCATACATTCCCTTGCAGGATTTATGATGCAGTGTTCTAACATTCCTAGGCACATCAACAGGGCTTATTCAATGAACTAACTCTTCATATATGTAATGGGAGGAGGGAGGTGCAATGACAGATTGGCAAATACTGTAGCACCATATTCACAAATCTATTTCCAAGCTAATAATTTGTTTAAACCAGATGTTCTACTGTAAAACAACTAGTTTTAAAAATTGTTTTACTCTTAATGAATTATATATATTTTAAGAATTGCTCATTTCTAATATTGTACATTGTGGAAATAATGTTTTTATTCTTTTGAATTATAAGAGAATTAAGTCTCAAATTAGGGTAGAATTAAACCTCATTTATTACATGATCAATTTTTGTTACCTCTTCCATATTATTTGAATGAATTAGATATACTCTTCTATTTGAACCTCTGTAAACTTTACAAAATGAAATAACAAGAGAATTTACTCCCAGAACATTCCAGTAGAGCTTCAGTTTGTATATACTGATTATACATATAAGCAATGTGTTGTAAATTCACACATCAAATCAAATCACACTGTGTTCTTAAAATACTTTTTTAAGTGAAAGTTTAGGGCTGGGGATATAGCTCAGTGGAGTAAGCACCTACCTGGGCAGCACAAGGTCCTAAGTTTGATTCCTGGTACCTAAAAAAAAAGAAAAGAAAGTTTAAATTAGGGGGACAAAAATGAGTAAATTTGTATAAATATAAAATATATTTTTTAAAAGCTCTAAAGTACCTTTTTCATGAATTTAAAACAAAATAAATAATTATTGCTCATTTATTCAGGCACAATTATTCTAAACAAAACTTAGAAAGTAGATCAGAATCTATGAGTGTACTTTTAAAATTGACAGGAAAGCTAATATCTAGTGATACCTCTGCTATTTGTTTAATTCAGTTAACGAGAAAATGAAGACTTCTGGTGACCCACACTGAGGAGGGCCATTATCACTACATTTGCAAGAAGAGAAATTCCAGGCCAAACAAAATTCACTCTAGCAGCGACCCTTTGTTTAAGAACATTGCAAGAACTAAACTCAGTATACTTGCTAGCCTGGTTTTCTTCCCCTGGAAATGGAATCAAATTATTTCACTTTTTTAGCAAGCTTTTCAAGACAGATATTTACTTTCTTCATATGTGACAGGTTCCTGTCAATCAGTGTGTCATGAATTAGTATCTATAATTAACGTAGTATATAACTGTATTTAAAGAGTTAAGTACACCTAATCCCTGCTTTGTAGAAAGATGTTTTTTCTCTGCAGTTCTTAACTTCTCCTCTAGGGGGCAAAACAGAAGCCCTTTCATGCTGTAGTACACTTTTTGAGCTCACCTGAGTGCTCATATTCATCGTGCACTGCATGTTGTATTATTGCAAATCATTATAAACTCAACGTATCAAAATAAATGCATTTACATAAAATAAATGCATAAACAGTGAACATTAAATGAGCACACATATCAACACTCTGGTCTCAATAGTCGGTGATTAGTTCCTATTTCCATTTACATATAACTCACCTATAACCTAGAATAAATTCCATAATCACGCGTGGCGTTATCCTTTTACTGTCAGCGCCCCCACCTTT